CTCCCTGTCATTTTGAGATTTTCAAGTAACGGCTGGCGTGTAGGATATAATACAGTGAAGGACGGAAAGTGCTGTTGTAGCACCACTAGTATAGCTTTCTGACACACCTTCGCATTCCTTACTATATACTACGTATACACAAATACGAGAAAGTAAAAGGCGTCTTCCGATCAAATATCACACTTATCAGGATAAGCAGTCTTAAATGAAATTTTGTCTCAATAACTCCACATTTTGTTTATTGTTTGTGAAAATTATGAAAATTGCTTATTTATAGTTACAGGAACAAAATTAAAAGCAAACTATTTGTTTTGCGTTGTTACCATTGTAAATACTTTTTTCGACGCCATATAACTGTAAAATATCGGTGTTGGTAAAAAAATTGTTGACCATATGTTGATTAGTATGATTATGTTTACTTACGTGCGTCTTTGAAATGTTACAAGTAATGTGAAGAGTTTCGCAAAGGATAAAGGAAGAAATAAGGATATAATTTTTATCATGTTACTTGCCATTTTAAATTATACGTGAAAGTTTGTGCTATGTTGTAGCACCTCTTACTTTGAAAATTTCTGTTTCTTGGACGAGGACAAAGTTTGTGGAAAATGTCCAAAGCCTTTCAAAGCAGCCATTCCACATTATCTTTTCTTTAAACCGCCCGCTCTGGCCATCTTCCGCAGTTCCAACACGTACTCTTAGTTCCTCAAGCAATGGACAGAGCGCACTGGGGACGCAGGACCCTCGTGGTTATAGGCGCATGTGCTCCCTATACGCGCAGCAGTGCTTCCCCGTCTGTCGGAGGGTGCTGTGCCTTCAGCTGAACGGGCGATACGTCTGACGTGACTGCGTCACTCGCGACTGGCCACGTGCTTGCCGGCATTTGGCTCCGGCGATTTCTCACCGAGTGACAACTGATAATCGATAACAGTTTGTTAATATTTTATAAAAAGTGATCAACTGTATTGATTTTTTCTGTGGTTATTCACGAAATTCGTATGGACATGGAATTGTTTTGTGCGGAAAGATTGCAAGACAGTCAAATAGCTGAAAGAGATCCGACAATATTCGAAGACATGCGTGTTCTTCAGAACCTTTTAGATCTTGAAAGTTTGTACATCCCATCGTGTAATTATTTTGAGACTATACAGAAAGATCTGCAACCTTTCATGCGAAAAGTTGTTACGACGTGGATGTTGGAGGTGAGTAAATTAAAACATTGCAAATGGTTTCAATTCATTCCATTAATTGTATTTTTATGAATTCGATTTTGTAAGATCATTTGAACGCTTTACTTATTAATTTACAAAAGTCACTGTAAAGTTTTAATGCACTGTTCTGAATGTTTTTTCTTATTTTCTGTCAAAATTTTGTCCTTTCTCTTATTGAAAGGCAATTGTTAATCATGTACGATATATTTTCTGTCAAAATCATCTCATTCCATTGTTTGCCAAATTTCACATTTCAGCATTTTTGCTAAGTTTATGGGATTTCTCCAAAACTCATAAAATTCAAACCAATTTACTCCTACCTAAAATGTTGCAGGAACGGGATATTATCCCATCTTTATCAAACCTCATGTGGGCGCGAGAACGTTTTGTTTTTCTTGAAAAATTGCAAATGGAATGAGCTGATTTTAATAGCAAATGCCTTGTATGCATTTTGCAAAATTATAGACATTATTTTATTTAATTAAACTTGTATGTAAATGTTCCAAATCATTGGAATTCAATAAGTTTTTTCGCCGGACGTTCCGATTCCGAGATAATGGTTTGTCACATTGTATTTTTTATCTTGTACTTTTATCTCATATTTATTCTTAATGACGTCTGAAATGATCTGCATTATAAACATGAGAAGTTTTTACTCAAAACACTAGTTTTATGTCCTTCGTTATTTATTGGTCAATTCTTCAAAACATCGTTTTCTTGGTAGTCATTCTCACACTCAGTACATGTAGTATTACTGTAAGGATTCATTGGTATTATCTGGCACTTCATTTCCTTGGTTTACCTCTTTGTTTTCATATTGTCAATTTGTCGTTTGTATTGAGTCAAGAAAAAATTAAGACATGTCATTTGACATTTGAAATATGAATGCATGGGACTGTCTTGATTGCCTCTATTGAGGGGCAGATGCAACAATGTTTTACTAATTCATTATGTATGCTATGACAGCATGTGCCACCAACATATTCTTTTGCTAATTACTGATTAAGGCTTAATTGAACTATGGAATAAGTAATCGAATTATTTGTTGTGAGAGATTTCTTTATTTGATCCATCTTTTCGCCCTCTTAAAGCTCATGTTTTGCCTCTCTCTTGTAAATGCTGTAAAAATAGTAATTTGAAGTAGTCCTCCAAAGTATTAGTTATTACGATTTTCTTTCTCATATTTCTCGAACCAGTTCCACAGGAAGTTTTTATTTGTCATTTTATCTAAAAGGACATATTGATAATGTTTTGAACATATATTCTGACGTAGTATCAATGTTACGAATCCCTGAGTAATATTGTAATTATTTTTTATTAAATGCTATTTTTGCAAATTCACTAATATTCTGTAATGATAATGCATATTTCCATGCTCATACGACTCTGTTAATGGATGCACCCTGCACAGTCTCTGAGTAAAGTGAAGTGATGATATCTGATCGTCAGTGCAATTTAATTTATTTTTATATAGGCACTTTTGACCTCTATCCTCACACTTTCTTTATTTCAGTATTCCGATACTCCTAGCCAGGAAGTGGAAAGTTTCATTATCCACCTGGATTTATGAATATCCTAATTTTAGATGCAAAATCTTGAATTGTGTATACTCACCTTGCAGATTTGTTCGAATCACGTCCCGCGATGACGTTTTCTTGACAAGCTCTTGGATCAAGCTGTGAGTGCTATAATCGAGTGATACGAGTAATTGAATAACTGTAGCATGCATGTAACTCACTCAAGCTGCTCCTTCAATCGTAATGGAAGACGTAACAATTCACATTCCTATCTTACTCTTCGCTTTCTCAGAAAAAATAGTTCTTTGAACTTTCATACCTTCACGCAAATAAACATTTAGAGTTTATCGTTTCTTGGGATATAAAACATAGAGCTTCGTCCTGGTACCATTCATAGTATCTTTGGAAACAATTTCCGTACGTGCACATGGCACTTTCAAGCGAATTCATTTGCGGTTTGGGGCAGATTTGTCAAATGATAATTGCAGCGTCTGTTGCCATTGGTTTGCAGCTTCAATTTTTCTGAAAAGGATGAAGATTGTAGATACGTATCGAACAATATTTAAGATAGTATCACACTTGACGTAATTGTTCGCTGAATTTCTGAGTTTCTTTAAACGATAAGATTACTTATACAGTGAACATTGTTCGTTTTGAAGCCCGTAATTTAAAACTAGATTTGAAGCAAGGACATGCGCACAAAGTGGGGAGGGGGCTATGGCCTCCTGAAAATGTAATAATCCTTCGCTAACCCCACAATTCCTAGTAATTTGTAATTATCCGGCTTTTTGAGCTGAGAGTTTGGAGAATTGACACACATTTGGATAAGAGGATCTCCAAACCATCTGGTAACCATGTAAATGGTTCAACATGCAACCAATTAATTGTATCATTAAAATTATTTTATTCCCCTATTGTATTTTATTTACTTAATAGTAAAATAAATTATTTGTAAATAAATTGTTTACTAGAAAAGGCTCAGTTCCTCTGTCCTGGACAACAGTAAAACATCGTCCTAAGTGGCATTTTTCTTCGAAAAATTTGGAGCCGTTTTTAAGAAAATGGCGTTTAAAAGCTACTGTAAATTCGAAATTTGAAAGAAAAAATTAGAGCCGTTTTCAAAATCTTGTTTTTGTAATTTTTTTATATTGCGCATATTGCGAGATAACTACAAAAAGTTTGAAAACAATGTACATGACTTTAATGAAAGAACTCTATGGTGAACAAATTTAATTTGAAGAAAAAATCTCTTATCTTCAATTTTGTAGTTGTAGGAAGTCGCCGCAAAAAATTCAAAATATTTCAATTCTTGAAAATTTAGTTAACCGTGAAAATCTGATCTATGCCACCTTTATAAATATATTTTACTCTATTCTCACAAGAAATTTAAAGCAGAAATTTGGAGCCGTTTTTGAGAAAATTTCGAAAATGTCCCAAGTGCTTTACGTAAAGTACCCCCAAATTTCTAAGAATGTTTTTCAAAATCTCAAAGCTTCGACTCGAACAAGATCAACAGGTGTGTTGCTTTCCATATACTACGTATGTTACTATATACCTATGTATACAGGAAAGGAAAATTGAATTATTTCAGCACACGTTGAAAAAATTACATTACGATAATTAAAATCAATATTACATTACGATAAACAAATACCCCCTCCCCTTATGTAACGCTCGCTCAACTCCCCCCTGTGGCGTTAAGTAATTTATGGGTGACCGTTGATTTCCCTCCCTCTCCTGTGGATTGGGGAGGAAGCTTGTGTTTGGAGAGGCGAGATTTGCGGAGGAGGGCGGAGCGGTGGCGTGCGGCGCGCGCCGCCTTATCGCCGAGCGGAGCGGAGCGGAGGGGCGTGGAGTGAGAGGGTGCGCGCGGTGTGCGTAGGTGTGCGAGGAGCAACGCTGCGAGGACCAGGTGTTCCCGCTCGCCGTCAACCTCCTGGACCGGTTCCTGTGCGCGTGCGCCATCTCGCGGCGCCAGCTGCAGCTGGCCGGCGCCGTGTGCCTGCTGCTCGCCTCCAAGGTCCGCCAGTGCCACGCGCTCTCCGTCGACCTGCTCTGCGCGTACACCGACCACAGCATCACCCCCGCCGACATGCGCGTGAGTACCCTTCATCTCGCCTCAGGGAGCGGATGCAGAAAGTCTTGCAGCTGGAGGCGAATTCATTTCGCCCCCCTACCCCCATATACTTTTGAAATTGTTGGTTGAAATAAAAAAAGGTGTTGGAGTATATTGATAATGGAAATACTGAATGGATATACTGAGATCTAATAGTAATTGTTTTCAATGAATTGAATACAATTATTGGATTTGGGTGATTTGGCTGTCCGGGTGACGCCGCGTCGAAGGCTGAGTTGCCGACGTTTCGACCATCCTGTCGTGGTCTTCCTCAGGGCTGGCGTCACCCGGACAGCCCAGATCACCCACATGACTCTGACTCGGAAGCCTACGACTTATATTGTTGGATTTGGGGGCAGTACATACCCCCCCCCTCCCCCGTAAAATCCGCCGCTGTCTCGTCTAACTCAGGTAGCGCCGATATGCGCCAAAAAGACGTGCACAGTACTTAAAAATCCTTCCTTTAGCACGCAACTTTGGGAAAGAAAAATTTAATGGGAAAATGAATGCTATGCAGAATGCAGCTATTAAGGTCGTAGATTAAAAAAGCGCCAACTTTAAATCAGGTGAAACCATTTAAAAAATGAAAATCGAGGTTATTTGTAATATAATGCTGTGCGCGAATTTGGATCCGTTTCGGCCCACTGAGCGGAGTCGAATTTACCCTTCGCCACCTTAGGGAAAGGGAGTTGACACACGGCTAAAAAATATTGTAACGTTGGTATAAATGAAAACACTTTGAGACACGACGTTCTTTACTTCTTGTTATTGATTATTTCAAAATTCTAATTATTGGTTAGTATAATGTTATAAAGGTCTCACGAAGATGTCGAATCAGAGCCACTCGAAAAGTTCGCGATGTTCGCTTTAATTACTCCGCAAGTTGTGTGTTTCTGCAGCGGTCGGGAGCGGAAGAAAGTATAATGAAAATATTCCCGTAACCACCACTTTTAAGCATAGAAACGAGCTCACAATACGTAATGTACTCTCATAGAAACTGCATGGTGTCTCAATTGCCCGGAAACTACATCACACTACAGGCCTGACAAATTGTCATGCGAAATTCAAATCTTCATTTATTTGAATTCAATTGGCTGCATGTTCTCAGCGGAAGTGCTGTGACGCAAACAACCGATCGCGAACATTGTTACCATTTTTCTCCGGTTCAATGTCAAGATATTCATGAGCAATCATCCGTTTATTCGACGTCATATTCGAGAATAATCGGACATTGCAAGCCAGATGACGGCCATCATCACTGCTATGTCCCGGTAGCTGAGAAAGTGCCATTTCTCACGATAAAAGTCGTAATCATGTACCTATCATCTTCTCACCCTGTTTTAATGGAGAGAGTGTAGTCAAAACTTCTTCACAAGAATCGATATTTTGATAGCGTTTGAAAACATTGTGTACCCATCAATGAGCCTCTTATTACCACAAGACTGAAATAAACTTGCCATACCCATTCATTAGGAGTATATTATGGTAGTGTGATTTGCTTTCTTGAAAACACAAGAGTTAATATTGCAAATTCAATACAGCTCAAATTAAATTTTTAACTTTTGCGTGATGAAATTCTTCGTCGAAGTGTTTTGTATTTTTTCGTGTACGTGTTCTCACATTAGAGAAACGGGCGGGGTTAGGAAAAGGGTTTACACGCCCGATTTGCATATAGAAAGGATCTATGGACACAAAGGGGCGTTCCCACTTGTCTCAGACGATTCCGACAAATCGTTTCTGGCGGAGCCTTGTTTGGGATCTTAGGCAAATTGTGTCTCCCACGCTCCCTCCCTCGCGACAGTACTGTTTCATCTTTGCCCTGATGTTAGCGCGAGAGGAAGTTGTCTGAATCGCCCATCGTCAAGGCAGCCTCGCAGTAGAACTACGAGTTCAAACGCGCTTTATTCAAACGGCGTGTTCGATAAATAAATTTCTGAAAAAGGGATACCCAACATTTTTACTTTCTCTAATACTAGAAGTATAGAGAACGTTATATAATGCTACGGCGAATATTTGGCCGAAAAAGTCGAATTGTAGGTCCTTGATACCGAAAAAGTTCAAAATTCTGATTCCTATATTTAGTAAATTACTTACTTTAAGGGGTTGTGTTGTAAGAATTCACGTTTTGTGGGTCCTTGTTACCGAAAAATTGGTTAAAGACAAAACGTATCGGCTATCCGTCCGTTCGTCGGGCCGTGGGTCTGTCTCTGAACAACACTAGCGACTAAATCCGAGGTAGGATTTTCACCAAAATTGGTATTCCACATTCAATCTGACTGATGTCGCGATTCCTTGAATTTGAAATGGCTATTTTGATTTTGGGGGAACTTTTCTTGAAGCTTGAGTAACATTCAAAAATTTCTCATAAATGGCACCAATTTTTTCCCTTGATTTATTTGAACTAAAATCATTAAATAGAATGACATAAAATATATGTACAAGTAATATTACAATACGAGTATTACGTAACCGTTACAAATAATCATTTTGACAATTTACAGCATACGAAATAATCATAATAGAAAGTATTTGCAAATAAATGCCTTGACATAATATGGAACAAGGACTTTTTTGTAGTACTTTCATATTTCATTATTCAAATGTTTACTAGTTTTCAGAAAAAAATATTGTGTGTCGGTTTTTAATGAATGGAAATTATGTGAATTCCAAAATAAGCAAATTTGTAATTCATTATTAAATATTTTAAGCATTCAATAAGAAAACCATTCATTATCAACTTAATTACTATATTTTGAAACCTTTCAGTTCCTGTGTTTGATTATCAGTTGCTCGGTGAATATTCGGCTATCACCCTCTCTCACCCACCTACCCCCACCCCCAGTCGACCGCTTTATAATCATTGACCCCTTTTCAGATTTCATGTACTCGGGACGGGGGAAATGGTCACAAACAAAATAAAAAAATCAGATCGGAAAACGCCCGTCGTTCGCCTGCTCTGGTGCGCGGAGCTTACGTGCTCGCAAGTTTTTCGTCGACTTCCTCCTTACCGGAAGCGCGTTTCCGTGCTTTTTCTCCCGAAGGAAGCGCCTGCTTTTCGTACGCACTTGCGCGGAGTGTCGCGTCGCATCGCATGACGCACGGGACGCCAAGACGTTCGGCTCATAATGCCTCATTATCTGCGCTACCCGAGGAGAGCGCCCCTTCCCCTTCTCCCCGAGCCTGTAATTCCCGTAAGAATGGTGGGTCTCCGCGCCGGCGTATGAATGAGGAGGCCGGCCGGGCAATCTGGCTAATAGATCTGGAGGAAGCGCGCGCGCGTAGGGCCGGGCCGGGCGCGGGGCAGGATTTCAGGTGTGTGCGCAGCCGCGGGAAGCAGATGGCGGGATGAGACGGCGCGGCGCGATGCGGTGCGTCTCGAGACGCGGCGGTGGCGTCGCCACGCGACGTGTCGTGACGGGGGCGGAAGCGGGAAGCGGGAAGCGGGTTGGTCTGGGCCGTTGGGGGTGGATGGCGGTGTGTTAGGAAGGCGGCGGCGGGACCGTGGTGAGTTGGAGTTAACCGAGTTCTTGCTTTGACGAAGTTAGGAAATGAGTGACAGATGACAGGGTTGATACTAGTTAAGGAGGTCCCAAGTATTTATGGAAGTGTCACTATTTGCTGAGTGGAACGTGACAGTGAGCGGCCAGCGAAGGATCATTTGACGTAGTTTTTCATAATTTTTATATTTGAATGGCACGTAATATTCAAGGCAAAATATTTGATAAACATCCCCTCAACGGCTTAGTAGTGATTTCTTTTCACACTTCGCAAGTCTATTACTGCTGGGCAAGGAATTACCATCCAGCTCTTCATCAAAAAGGTTCTGGAAAAAAAAACACCCTAAGATTACGATGTTTGAAAATTAGCAGGCTACAATGTAACCCGCTACACACGTTGCGCTGCATCAGACGTTGCCATCGTACATTACTCAGAGACAATGCGTCCTGAGCCCTTCAAACCAGGTTTTATGAGTTATTTTCTCACACAATCATCTACAAAATTAGACCTATTTTGATGTTCTGTTACAGTTTTAGAGGCTACCCCTTCTTTGTAGCACGGGTTGTCACAAACGTTGGATATTGGGTTTCACCATGAAGCTATTGTTACTTTTAAAACTTTATGTTCGTTCGCTCGGGTTGAACTGATAACCTAAATATATGATGACTTAGAATCACAGAACGGATTTACAATATTTAGGCTATTATTAAAAGCGTAACTTTGTAAGATATCTCATCTGCGTCCTCTCAATGAACCTCGTTGTTGGGGCCGGTGCCGCTTCTGAATGTCAGCGGGGTGCGGGGAGTGTTACAATCCAGTGTCAATGGCTTCCATTGTTGGAGGCGGTTGTCCCGCAGGGTGTCGCGTTGCATGCGAGGCCAGGCGAGGCGGCGGGGGCGTAGGGCCGGCGGTGAGCTGGCGAGGAAGGCGTGAGTAACGCGCCCAGGTGCAGCGTCTCCGGGGCGGCGCCGTCGTCACAGCACTCGCTCGTCCCCATCGCCGCTGCCAAGCCCCCCCCCTCCTCCCCGCCACGCGCCCACTCGCCCACTCACCCGCTCACCCGCTCACCCACTCACTCTTCTCCATTCGTAATGAAATCACGTGGGAACGGACGTGACTCGCAACGTCTTGCGTTAGCAATTTTTCTCTCAACACGAGTCCAAGTGAATATAAATATAATACGTGAATTGCGATGTACTTACCCAGAAAGTTCACAGTAAATTATAAACACATGTCACTTTTCTGATTAAACTTATAATGAAAGTGTCACGTTGTGCTGTTTTTGTTTTAATGGCGTTCCCCAACTTGCAATCTTTTCGTGGATTATTCCATTTCATCGACTTTCCGTTAATTCTACTACTAGGACAAAGTTAGTATGGAATATTTATCCTATCTCCTTTTCTGGTGCTACAGCCCGCTTCGGGGCTCATTGCCTCTGACGCTAGATGGAGATGTCCTTGACTACAGTATCCGCAGCATATAGC